ACACACACACACACACACACACACACACACACACACACACACATATACAGACCGTTTTTCCGTGGTGGCGCGTGGAATGCCTACCACATTGAATTCGAATTCCTGCCACCACTGCTGCAAGGGCATCGCAGAAAGATGCGTGCCCCTCGTCAGGGCATTTCAAGAACCTACCGATGAAACGCCACCAGCGGTCCAGTAAGGGCATATCAGAAAGTTACGCCCCATGCTGACAGGGGCCTACGGAAAATTTCAGAGGCCCGAGGGGCACCACAGGGTAAGTCGGCCTTTACAGGGGCACGCCGCAAATAAACGCGAACTTTGGGGGCATTTCGAAAATTTTCCCTAAAAAAAAACACCGCACGCAAGATGCAAAACACACAGTTCCAGAACTTACTTCTTTTTCCTATCCCTTGAACGAGAGCGTGACCTTGACCGCGAACGAGTAGGAGACCTGTTGCTCGATCTGCCCCTAGAACGCGAACGAGACCTGTGCCGCGACCTTCTGTCCCGATCCCCCCGATCATACTCTCTCATTCTCCTGCACATACACAGACATTCAGAACCTTGTTGTTAGGCAAGCTATATATTCATAAAGGGGTAACTTCAGTAGAGTCACAAAAGAAACGAGTTATAATTGCACTATGGGGCAAGATACAGTTTGTAATTTATGCACTTAGGGCACCCTACCTGGCCAGAAAGCTGGGTTGTATACATTGCCTGAACTGCAGTTCGAAACTGTATCTTGACCCATATAGTGCAATTATAACTCTTTTTTTTGTGACTCCCGCGTAGTTACCCCTTTCATAAATCTTCCATCAATGGATGTGCCAATCCAAACCCTGACTGCCACCCCATACTTGACCCCCCTTTGGTCCTTCGTGCCATCGATATACTGACACCTTTTGTCCTTCATAGCCATCATGACCCCCCTTTGGTCCTTCGTGCCATCGCTAGACTGACACCTTTTATCTTTCATAGCCATCAATATACTGTGGCTTGGAGAGTTCGAATCGATTCATAAACACCCACATGGAACAAAAAGGGAAGCGCAGTTTAACTGCTACGAAACCTTTCATTGCCTTCTCATTTTATGCCACTCTCTCTATGAAACCTGTCGTTACCATCTGTATGTTTATTTGTGTGTGTGTGTGTGTGTGGGGGGGGGGGGGGGGGGGGGGGGGGGAGGATGGGGGGGGGGGAGAGGAGGGGGGGGGGGGGGGGGGGGGGGGGGGGGGGGGGGGGGGGAGGGAAGACAAAGGGGCAGCAGCAAAGTACAACGTAAGTCGGTGCTTCCCTCTGGGAGATCTTCAAGGCCAGATCTCGCATCCGGGAAAATGAGGTATACATATAAAAAACGAGACATGAAGCTACCACAGTTGGTACACACCACGCCTGAACTGTTGAATACAGACCTGAGTTTGAGGAAGAAGACAGGGCGCTGGTGACGGCAGCGCCATAGCCTGAACTGTTGAAATACAGACCTGAGTTTGAGGAAGAAGACAGGGCGCTGGTGAGGGCAGCGCCATAGCCAGCCCTACATAGCCAGGGCTTGGCTTGGATAGCCAGTGGAGGTGGTGGTGGTCTTCGTGTATGCGAAGGAAAACGTGGGTAGACAAGACAACGGGGGGAGAGAGAGAGAGAGAGAGAGAGAGAGAGAGAGAGAGAGAGAGAAATGAGGATGATGATGTGAGGGCACGTACCTGGTCTCACATGCGGTTAACCAGGGGTGTTATTTTCGACGAATTTTGCACCGAATTGCACTGAAACTGTCATATTGTGCTGATTTTTTGCTTCTTTTCTTGTTTTTCTTTTTGTGTGATATGTATGTGCTTTAGGGTATGTCATGTGTGCAGTTTTGACATGTTTGGTCTCATATCGTTTGTTTTTTAAATTTTTGATGAAATTCGCACTGCAATTACCAACGAAAACGGCGAATATTTGGGCCCCCTTTAACCGTCTCTCCCTGGTCTTGGCGATGGTCTACAGGATCGACATCTTCATGTACTTTGGTTGTTGCTGCTGACATCAACAGGATGCATTGTCAATTCGTAGGCTGGTGTAGCTGTGCGATCGTAGTCTGGGCGCTGAGCGCCAAGTAGGAGGAAGGGCTCTGGATACATATGTTGGTGGTGGGGAGAGTATGCTTTATGCTCTCATTGACATTCGGATTCGGTCCTTTGGTTCTCTGTCGGTGAAATATCAGTGCATATCTGCTTTCTGGACAGCGTTGGACTTTCTGGCTTTCAATGTGCTTTTGCATTCTGGATTTCTGTCATTTCGCTATCGCTCATTTTCCTTGCACTACACTGCTCTGTGCAGGGAGCAGAACCGAGGCTCCTAACACTTGGTCACAGCTGGAATGCGGATACAACACCTACCAACCAACCACGAGGGGCAAGCCAACTATCTCGGATGGTGAGATTCCCGCACACCATAATCTGTCTTGACGAAGGGCCTCGCCGCATGACTCACCAAATGGGTAAAATGGCAGCAGTATCTTTGACGACAAGTGGCAAGATACACCCACCAGAGTTTTTGTCTTTTTCACATTTGGTTAGTGGTGCAGTGAGGCCCAAAGGTCGAAGCATTCAAGTCACATGGAACCGCCATGCAACGCATCGACGGAAACGGAGGAAGAAACAGGGGTGGGATAGCACAGCGTATTGGAATTCAAAACCCTTGCGCCCGGTTAGATGGAATTAGAAAAGGCAAACACAAGCACGTCTGTGACAAAACAGGCAAAGACTACACAAAATTTGCAAGGCGTCAAACAAGTAATAGAAGACTCAAAATTTTGTATGACCTGTCGCGGTCCCGATCTCTGTCTCGATCTCTCTCCCTCACATCTTCTCTGTGACGACGATCCATCCTTTCGCGGTCTCGGTCCCGATCGCGGTCATCACGATGCCTCCTATCAAAACTGTACCGATCCCTCTCCTTAATCCTTGCACGCTCCCTCTCTCGTTCGTCTTCGCGAGGCATGCGCTGCCACACAACCACCATCACAACCGTGTCAAAAACCATCACAATTCCTTCTATCAAAAGTGTACCGATCCCTCTCCTTAATGCTTGCACGCTCCCTCCCTCATTCGTCTTCGCGAGGCATGCGCTGCAACACAACCACCATCACAACCCTGTGTCAAAAACCATAACCCAGCTCTTTCCTCTCTCCCCCTTTTCCCCTTCCCTTCCCTTTCACACGCAAATGAAGACACAAGAGCCAGAGAAGTATGCCCGCGCAACAGCCGAACACGTGCATCTCTTGAAAAAGAAAATGCGTACCTGCCGACGCCTGTCCCCATTCTCTCGATCATCTCTCAACATCTCCTGAGGTGAGCGCGGTCCGCCATCCCCATCGAGACTGCGCAGAGGCGACCTCATGCGCGGCCTTGGGGAATACTGCTCTTCACTTCCCCTCCCATCTTCATCGTCTGGGTGCACCATCTCAGCCACCACAGGCATACAACTGGGGACAACACTGGATGTCGTGCAAGCGGAGATGCGAGGAGGACTAGTCCAAACGTCTATTGCCTTCAGAAATCACAGACGGCAGCCATAAAATGCCGCCTAATCGCGATCGCTGGCGCAAGTGAACAGCAACGGAATTGGTTCACCAAAAATCCACCTCTCTTTCCCCCTCTATCTCTCCAAACCTCGCCCAACCCGCTCTTCCACGCTCTTGCCTCCCTTTGTCCGTCTGCTTGTTCATCGCAAGCACAACTTCACCAGCACCCCCTGGTACCACCAGATAAGCTGGCCGTCAATCGCCACCCTCTCTTGATCTCTCAATACCCACTTCCTTCTCTCACCGCCTTCCTTGATGGACTCTTCACATTCCCACCGCAGTTCGCCTGTCCAGCTCCTTCCTGGTCAAGTCTCTGTCCAGTCATGAGGGTGAGGAGCACAAACACTCCAACACTCCAATGTGGAATGCACGGGGCGAAGAGCGGACGCTTCGCGTCTGAATCCCGGCTGAGATGTAGCACACATAGGCAATGCCTGCACAACAAAGGCAAAACAAATAAAAGCCAAATGAGAAAATCCATAGCAAATCCATTTGAAAGCAGTGTTGGTCCCGGTTGGACCGGGGACCCCTCCCCTGACCGGGAGCCTTCCAGTTGGACCGGCCGGTCGTCCATGCCGGTTGGCTCCCGGTTTCCGCCAGCGCACTTTTGCTGGGGATCGGGTTGTTTTGGGGGCGGAGGCTATGTTGCTTTTTAGACCTTGCAGACCCCCTCGGGGTCACAAAACATAAGAACAGGGGCCGGAAGTCACAAAACATAAGAACAGGGGCCGGTAGGCCTCTCTGTTAATGAAACCGAAAGCCGCGGTGAATCTTATCCACTGATCTTTGTTGATCCGTGGCCAAGATCGGTCATCATTCAAACTTGGGGGGCGGTTCAAGGGGGCGCAGTTCAAACGGCGTGTGCGGTAGGCTTCTCCCATGTCGCTCGCCGCTACTCAGGGAATCGCTTTTGCTTTTTTACCCCTCTGGCAACTAAGATGTTTCAGTTCACCAGGTTCTCTCTTATCCGCCTATGGATTCAGCGGCAGTACAAGGGGTTACCCCATTCGGGAATCTCCGGATCTATGCCTGTTTTCGACTCCCCTTAGCATTTCGGCGCTTACTGCGCCCTTCTTCATCTCTGAGTAGGATCAGACGGATCAAAAACTGCAAGTTCATATAAAGCCATTGAACCTGCCCACCCTGACACGAGCAGTATGCATAATATGGACAGATATTGAACGACCAGGATCATTTAATACAACTGCATGTACATGATACCAAGGTAGACCCATGAAATGACACCTTTTGTCATAGACAAGTTGATATTTATTAACTTTCTTGCTATTTTTTTTTCCTAACTCGTTGATTATATTAAACCACCAGTACCCTCCGGAGCACTTCGCCGAACCGTTTTTTTTTTTTCTTTCCGAGCCTGCTGGGCCTTTCAGTTGACGCCCAGCAAATGTCGGCGGCGGGCAGCGAGCGGAGCGGAAGCGGGTAGCGAGCGGCCAGCGGGAGCGGGTTGTATTCAGGGGGGAAGAAGGCAGCGGAAGCGGGCAAATGTCGGCGGCGGGCAACGAGCGGAACGGGCAGCGAGCGAGCGGGAGCGGGTAGCGAGCGAGCGGGAGCGAAGGGGAGAGCGGGAGCAAGCACCAAGCGAGCGGGAGCGGGCAGCGAGCGAGCGGGAGCGGGTAGAGAATGAGCGGGAGTGGGCAGCGAGCGAGCGGGAGCGTGGGGGAGAGCGGGAGCGGGTAATGAGCGAGCGAGCGGGAGCGGGCAGCGAGCGAGAGCACGAGCGGAGGGGAGAGCGGGAGCAGGTGGCGGGCGAAGCGGGGAGCGCTGCCATGCTCGAGCAAGCTGCAGACTAATAGGGAGCG